CATCACTGGATTCCCATGTAGTTGACCGCAATTCGAGTCCTGGACCCAGCGGCTTAAAACTCACACCAGGCGTGCATGTATGCATGCCTAAAATCCTGAGCAGAGAACGAAGGAGAAGGGATTGTGGCCTGGCCATCCCCCCTGGGGGGTGATTTCTTGATTTCTGTCTGTCTCTCTGGCGAGCACACACACCCTATGGCAAGAAGATCTCTCTTCAAAAGAACAAAAACAAAATTCAAGGACTGAACCAGCAGGTGGACTGGTGGTTAAAGTGTTGGACTTCCTAATGGCTGACAGCAGTTCAAGTCCTGGACCTGGGGGCTTGCTTTCTCACTTTCCCTCTCTTTCTTTCTCTGTCTCTCTCTCTCTCTCATGAATGCATTGTACACTGTAGCAAATTAAAAAGCAATACTAATGATCAATAAAATTAAATAAATCTTTTAAAAAATTCAAGGACTCTGTGGACAACCAAAATGCAGTGTATATACACAATAGAATTTTTTAAAAATAATTATTTATTTTATTTTTATTTACTCATTCATTTATTTTTTAATTTGACCAGAGAGAGACAGAGGCTGAGAGTGAGAGAGAAGAAGTGAGAAAGCAAGCCACCAGATTCAGGACTTGAACCCTGGTCAGCCATGTGGGAGTGTCCAGCGCCTTAACTACCACACCACCTGCTGGTCCCGGTGGGGGTGCTTCCTCTCTTCCCCTCTGGCATTAAAAGTATCACGTACTCTCCATATAGATGCAATTATTACATGTTATGATTTTACTTTTTTTTAAGTTAAACACCGCAGGTTGCATCTGTCAGACTGTGGCCTTTCGGGGTTCCTTCCATTCGACCACTGAATGTGGGCAGCGTCGGGGGGTGCGGGCGTGGACCCGCACAGTCTAATCAATTCTGCGTTAAGGGGAAAGACACAGGGCGGCTGAAGCGCCGCGGAGAAAACGACTCTCAGGAGATAGAGGGTCAGCTGTCCCGACGAGAGCACGTGTGAACCTCCAAAAGGCATTCCAGACAGAAGTAACAGCAAAGCACCCGCAGCGGCAAAGCCTGGATTCCCAGACACCCACACTGGGCTCGAGCTCCAGGGAGCAGCTGGCAGGCACGGAAGGAGCTGGGACGATGGAGCACTGTCGGGACATGGGCCAGAAAGGCCTAGGGCGTTCGGAGGCTGCACGCAGAGGTAGCGAGGCTGGAGCACAGTGGGCGGTTTCTGGGGTCCGGCGGGCAGGGCTGCAGGACCAGAGACGCTGGCAAGGTGCAACCGCAGTTTAGCTCACCCGGCGGTGGGGGCCCTGGGCGCTCGGTTGCCCTGGCGACGGCGTCGGGGGCGGAGTCGGAGCCCCGCACTCCTGCCCGCCCCTCCCCTCCGCAGGCCCGATCGTCCCGCCCTCCACCGGACGAC